ACTCCTCCTCCTACTTCTACTACTTTGTCTCCTCCTGCTCCATCTCCTCTTTCTCCAACTCCTTCTCCTATAACTCCTCCATCTCCTCGTACTCCTCTGCTTTCTCCTCCTCCTCCATCTCCTCTTAGTACTCCTCCTCCACCTTCTTTTTCTTTTTCTTCCTCTTCTTCCTCCTCTTCCTCTCTTCGCTCTTCATGCTGGCAGTTATTAAACAAGAAATAAACAGGCCGATTCTTCTCATTTTTGGCACATTTAAATTTTCCAGCCTTAAGAGCTCTAAGAGCGTTTTTTGGTCGTGTTCCATTTGAGTGTGTGATAAGAGCTACAATGTTTTTCTCCACGTCATTTCCAAACAGAGACATCACTGAATCAAAGCTGTACATCAGTCGGTCACTCAGTCGATTATCACTCGCCTTCATCACCACACCCACCACATGAACTTCATGAACTCCATCATCTGATCGAAACAAGTCCAATAATCTTTCACGGATGATGTCATCACATTTAAACCCTCCGGTATCTCCATATCCAGGAGTATCGACGATGGTCAGAGAGCAGGGCAGACTATTACCTTCAAAATCAAAGATCTCGTACACGATTACATCAGATGTCTGACTTTCTCCCTGACTTTTCTCCTCCTCCTGTACGATCTGAAACCAGATTTGATCCTCCCACTTCACTCCCATGCTGTAGTTGAACAGAGTGTTGATCAGAGTAGATTTTCCTGCTCCTGTTTCACCGACAAGTAAGATGGTTTTATTTTTCTTCTTTGGATTTTTCTCACCAACTGTAATTCTTGTCAGAGTTCCAAACTTCTCTTCCTTTCCTCTCTGCTGGTAGACAGCAGGAGGTCCTGAACGGATCGCCACACTTTTAGAGATGATGTCCTTAAATTTAGATTCTCTAGAGTCATTCCTGTAGAAAAAGTTGGCAATTATCTATCTATCTATCTATCTATCTATCTATCTATCTATCTATCTATCTATCTATAGATATATATTTAGATATATATCAGAGCGTTCTCACTCCCGAGGCGTAACATGTCGACGTTTTGTCACGTCCCGCGGCGTTCCTGAGGAA